AACAAAAGAAGATACATGCTCGCCTGACTTTCCTCGCTGGAACACCAAGTCAGCCAACTGGGAACTGTTTCGAGAAATTACATTTTTAGACGGAGATGAGATTGCTGATTTTAATATAGACGATGCTGTAGCATACCTAACAGGTTTTATTATTGACGCTGCAGTGAAATGTATCAAGCAAACCAACGGAATGACCAATAAACGTCGCATCCCATGGTGGAACGACGATTGTCGGAAAGCGCGCAATAGACAAAATAAAGCTTGGAGACTACTCCGAAATTACCCAACGGCTGAAAACCTCAACAATTTCAAACAGGTCAAGTCCCAAGCCAGAAGAACGTGTCGTCTTGCAAAGAAAGAAAGTTGGAATAGGTACATCTCCGGTATAAATTCTTACACTGACGAAACGAAGGTTTGGAATAGGGTAAACAAGTTAATGGGTCGGGAGTCACACCCCCTACCTTTGGTAAGTAGCCGAGGGGAGAGCTTGGAGGAGCAAGCGGACTGCCTAGGCGAACACTTTGAATACGTCTCAAGTGCATCGCACTACACAGAAACGTTCTTAAGATTCAAAGAACGCGAAGAGCGGCAACCCCTTAAATCTAAACGTACATCCAGGGAAGCTTACAACTGTCCATTTTCATTAGCTGAATTTAAGGCATCTCTTGTGTACTGCAACAACTCGGCGCCAGGTGGCGATCGTATAACGTACGAAATGATCAAGTATCTTCACCCAGAAGCACTAAAAACACTCCTAACCCTCTTCAATACCATGTGGGAAGCTGGATATATTCCATTCTCATGGAAAGAAGCGATAGTCATCCCGGTACTTAAACAAGGCAAAGACCCGTCCTTGGCCGCCAGCTACAGGCCAATAGCGTTAACAAGCTGTTTATGCAAACTATATGAGAAAATGTTAAAGCGGCGCTTAACCCACTTCCTAGAAAGTAACAGTATACTAGACCCCCTTCAGTGTGGTTTCAGAGAGGGGAGGTCGACAATAGACCACCTTGTTCGCATAGAGACATACATCAGAGATGCATTTATTCATAGGCAGTTTGTACTTTCGGTATTCTTAGACCTGGAGAAAGCGTACGATACCACATGGCGATTCGGGATCCTACGCGATCTTGCCGCCATGGGCATCCATGGGAACATGCTAAACACAATTAAAAGTTATCTGTCTAACCGAACCTTTCGCGTAAAAGTGGGAAATGCTCTCTCTAGATCATTTACCCAAGAGACTGGTGTTCCGCAAGGGGGCGTGCTTAGTTGCACACTCTTTCTTGTAAAAATGAACTCCCTGCAGTCAGTCATTCCAAGCGCGATGTTTTATTCTGTGTATGTTGATGATGTGCAGATGAGTTTCAAATCATGCAATATGTCTATCTGCAAACGACAAGTGCAGCTTGGAATGAATAAATTTTCTAAATGGGCGGATGAGAATGGTTTTAAAATAAACACCCAGAAAATACTTGCGTACTCTTTTCCAACAAAAGAGGGGTAATGCCACTACCAAGCATTATGATCAAGGGAGACCAACTCTCTGTGAGCAGCGAGCATAAATTCCTAGGAACCACTTTAGATTCTAAGCTCACGTTTATTCCCCATATTAAACCGAAAAATTCCGAAAAAGTTACTCATGTGAAACCCAACTTCTTTATTTTACTAATGACATAGCATCGGCTTTAGATCGCGGCTCACTTGTGCATTGCATTTTTCTTGACTTTCAAAAAGCTTTCGATAAAGTACCTCACCAATTACTCCTCCTGAAAATTAGTACCTTAAACATTGACCCGAACATTCTTAAATGGATTGAATGCTTTCTGACTAATCGCACTCAGTTTGTAACACTAATGGCTATAACTCACCTCTTTCTAAAGTAACATCCGGCGTACCCAAGGTTCCGTATTAGGCCCTTTACTCTTTCTTATATATATTAATGATCTCCCAGACAGCATTAACTCCGCTATAAGGTTATTTGCAGATGATTGTGTAATTTACCGCGAAATAAACAATGAATATGATAACCAATTTCTACAGTCAGACCTTGACACTGTCTCAACCTGGTGCAATAAATGGCTTATGACTCTCAACTCTAACAAATCTAAATGCATGTCAATAACCCGGCGATCTATTTCTCCCCCCTGTACCTACAGAATTAACGCCGTTCCCCTCCAGCATGTCTCTTCATATAAGTACCTCGGCGTTTACATTACCAACAATCTATCTTGGCACACGCATGTTACCTACATCTGTAATAACGCTAACCGAACGCTAGGATACTTACGCCGCAACTTTTCTCGCACTCCGCTGTCCCTCAAAATTCTATTATACCGATCACTAATTCGCCCAAAGCTTGAGTACGCGTCCGCTATATGGGATCCCGTGCAGCAAAATTTAATTAACGCGTTAGAATCTGTTCAGAACCGCTCAGTTCGGTTCATTTGTTCTAATTATTCCCGTACTGCTAGCATATCAGAAATGAAATCTAACCTTGACCTACCCAATTTAACTGTCCAGAGGAAACTGGCGCGACTGCATTTTTTTCATAAGATATTTTTTCACAATCCATCAATGAAGCGAGACCTCATTTCACAACCGTCATACCACTCATCGCGCATTGATCATCAGCATAAGGTTGCCATTCCGTTTTGCCGCGCCAAATTATTTTCAGCAGCCTTCTTACCGAAAACAGCCGCCGATTGGAACCACCTTCCCTCTTCCGTTGTATCAATAACAGACCCTTTGTTATTCAAGACTGCAATTCCTCAGCAATGCTTGTAACTATACGCAGTTTTCATTATCTATCTTTGTCTTGTATGTGCTTGAATTCTTATACATCTTTAGTTGACTTATGTTGCCTTCATGATTTGCGCATGCATCTGATACTTGTTCTTTATTTTGTTTTTTTTTCTTGTGTGTTATATATGTTGTACCCACCCCCTCTGTAATGCCCTACGGGCCCTGAGGGTATTCTAATAAATAAATAAATAAATAAACATGTAAAATTGAAATGTCTGAAAGCGATGAACCTCCTAAAGCTCCTATCACGTACGACATGGGGTAGTGATCGGAAGTGTCTCTTGAACTTGTACAAAAGCCTTGTTTTGTCGCGTCTTGATTACGCCTCTATAATTTATCAATCCGCAACGCCAAGTGCTTTGAAAATCTTAGACCCCATTCATCATCTGGGTATCCGACTGGCAACCGGTGCTTTCAGGACAAGTCCGATCCAGAGTCTCTATGTAGAGTCCAATCAGTGGTCACTTCACCTGCTGCGATCCTATAGCAGTTTCACTTATTTTATAAAGGTACGCGCAAACATAAAGCATCCTTCTTATCCAGCTATAAACGATATGACCGCTGCCACCCTATACCATAATCGACCCACAGCGAGAAAGCCGTTCTCTTTGCGTGTGAGAAGCTTAAGTGAGGAAATGGGTGTTCCGCTGCTAGAAGCTTTGTCCTATGCCCACCACAAAACATTTACCGCCGTGGCAGTGGCAGCTCATACATTGTGACACTTCCTTTGCCGAGTTCACTAAACATCCACCAGAAGCACATATTAAAATGCATTTCCGACAACTCCAGTCCAACTACTCATGCGTAGAGTTTTATACTGACGCTTCTAAGTCGTATGCAGGGGTGGCTTATGCAGCCGTCGGACCATCCTTCTCGGAATCCGGTGTGTTGCACCCGGAAACAAGTATATTTACGGCTGAGGGTTATGCACTATTGTCGGCTGTGAAACATATACGGAAATCAAACATACAAAAATCAATTATATTCACAGACTCGTTAAGCGTCGTAAATGCATTAAGATCCCATTTCAGATTCAGAAATCCGGTAATAATTGAGCTGTATTCCGTTCTGTGTACAGCATATATGTCCAACCAGCATGTTACTATTTGCTGGGTTCCTGGCCATAGAAGCATCGAGGGCAATGTGTTAGCTGACCAAATGGCCACGTCAATTATATTGCGCACTATTAACCCCACAGCTACTGTCCCTGCAACAGATTTGAAACCCTTCCTACGTAAGAAACTGCGAAACCACTGGCAACGCTTGTGGGACACAGAAATAAATAATAAGCTTCACTTGATTAAGCCGCGGTTGGGTTACTGGCCCTCCGCTACAAGAACACGGCGAACTGATGTCCTATTCTGTCGCCTCAGAATAGGACACACTTATGGCACCCATAGCTTTCTGCTGACTGGCGATGAACCTCCTACTTGTGGTAGATGTGGTGAGAGGCTAACCGTCCTCCACGTCCTCCTGGAGTGTCCGGAAGCTGAAAGTGAGAGAAAGAAATATTTTGCTTTAGCATACCGCTATAATCTTCCTTTACATTCGATTATGTTTCTCGGTGAAGAACCGCTTTTTGATGCAAAATCAGTTTTAAGTTTTTTAAAAAATGTAGTATTGAATGTTTTTACCCCAACAGGTTCATAGCGCATCCTCTGTTCAGAGGATGCCGCTGTGATAGCAGCTTTCAATAAGCCCAGGCCTCCATGCTCTTGTTTTAAGCGCTCTGTCGAGGCATTGGTGCTCCATGCCACGTTTTAATTTCACATACATATCACTTTTAAACCATTTTATGTCTCCATAGCACACATCATTTGTGATTGCCATAATGTTACTATGCATATATTTTTACGCACCTATAGCGACTGTTTTTTAGGCCCATTTACAGCCACGTCACATCTGTTTTATCTTCATTGCACATTGCACAGTTCATTATCATCGCTCTGGCGCTCTTTGGCCACATCTGGCCCTTGCGCCAATAAACTCCACTAATCATCATCATCAATTCTGCGTGGCGCTTGCTTAAAACTGAAGGCAGGAGGATAGGGTGGCTAGAAGGGACCCTAAGGAGGACTCCGCTGGCAACACGAGCCATTTGTCAGGCATCTATGCTCAAACCGTGACCGAAATATACGTAAAATACCGAAACTGAACCGATACTACACTAAGGCGTGGCCTGCTACACGTATGCTACCACATTTTTTTCTTCCTCCATGCATGCTACATACCTCTACCAACGCTGCCTTTATTTCTATGCCTCTACTCTAAACGAGCCTCTAAAGACAATCTATAGAGGAGGTCGTGCTAAAGACTAGCCAGCTTCGGATGGTTTTAGGACCACATGGAGGAAGGTAGGACCGAGACGTTTTAGTGTCAATTTACGCGTGTCAAGCCTACAGCCGTGCTGGTAAGATTGATCCAGGTAAGGTTTCTAGATAGTCTCGGCGGTGACTGCCAACGCAAAATGAAAACAAATATACCTGTGTTTATGCCCGTCTGACCCGAGTCTTCAGCACAGTTGGCGACCGCTTTCGCATGCTCTGCGTAATGACACCGATAAGTTCGCTGCATCAGTAGAACCAGAGCAACCACATCAGAATAGGGCCGCGGACGCCGTACTGGCGTTGCGGCAGAAGCGACGAATAGTTGTTGTTGTTGTTGTTCTCCTATTGTTAGTGGTGCATACCCACTATGGGGGATTGGCCAAGAATCGAGTGGTTTTAAAATTTACTGTTCAGATTTGGAATGATGTAGGTATAACAAAGATTACCGATAGCCTAGAAAAGTGTGGTGCTTAATGTAATGCATACAAATATTTACATAAACGAATTTATTTTTAGAATAGAGCAATAATCTGATTTTATGCGTATATAATTATGTGGACATGTTAGGATAATGAAACTGGTTAATTAGTCAACCTATTAGTTTCATCAATATAGTCCCGGACGGCCGCGCATACTGTCGCATCAGAGAAACCACAAATGGAAGCTCCAAAAGACAAAATGACAGGCAGAGATACATCCATACCAATACCACGTAAAGGTGTTTCTAATAGGGTTTTTCGTAATGTGTTAAACCGCCTGCAGGTAAAAAAAAATGGTCTATTGTTTCCAGTTCATCACAGAATGCGCACAGTGGCGAAGGTGCCTGAGCAGACCTGTGTTTATAGAAATTTAGATTTGGTACCCGGCAACGCAGCCTTGTGATAGCTACTTCTTGTTTTCGAGTGCAGCAAAAGTCTCTTCGCCAGGGATATAATAAATGGCGATATTCTGTAGAGTTTGTTAGTGTTGAACCTATAAAGACTTGCAGAAGCGTACGTCTGCGGAATCTAGCAGCAGTCACATAAGCGGATGATGGACAGAGCGGTAGAATTGGTTCGCTGATTGACGACTTAGCTAAGAAATCGGCTATTTCATTTAGAAACAAACCTTTATGTCCAGGCATCCAAACTAATCGTACTTTTCTCAAATGCGCAGGTGCTAGTGCACGGAACACCTTTGTTACGTGATTATCAGCACCAACAGAAAGTGCCGCACAGAGAGATAGGGAATCTGTTATTATGACAGCTGATGTAATTGCTGTATATAACTTGCATAAGGCGAGCACTACTGCCAGAAACTCGGCCACAAAAACGGGTATGAAATGGGGTAGTCGAAGAGAATAAATCTAATTTAAAATCGGGCTGAAAATACCAACCCCTGACTTTTCGTCGTATTGCGATGTGTCTGTAGCAATAATAAGTTCGATGTAATACGGCGCAGGTGATCTTGTAGTTGTTGTTGTTGTTCTCCTATCGTTAGTGGCGCATACCCATTGTGGGGGATTGGCCAAATAGTGCTCACAGCAGTGCGAGAGCATGTGTTACGTGCTTTCCTTTCAAAATATGTTAATACATAGTGTTCATGTGATGTCACTTCCGCCGTTGTCGCCCTCTTCCGCCATGCCCGGGTACCTCCCTGGGTACCTACGACAGTCCACGTGCTGCAGCGCGGTTTGTTGGGAGCTCGTCATCTATTGCTGTGTACGATGTTGAAAGGGAAGCATTGTGGTTTTTTTGTTATCGTACTTTAACGAGCTCATCGGATCAGGAAGGCCTCGTTTGTTCACTCGATACAAGACCAGAAAATCAAGATGTGCAACACGTATACCAGCCACCGCGTACACCGGCTGCCCGCCACGACCTACGATGGCCCAGTATCCCGCTTTCACTACAAACACTACAAATTGCAAGCCGCAAGAACAAGTGAAAGCCCAAAGTCTCTTGAGCCGCAGTTTTAAGAGTGGATGAGCGAAGTGCAGCAGCTCCCATCGAAAACGAGTCATGCAGAGCTAGGCAAGTTTACAAGAGATATAATATTAATATATTGCTGCGGCCCACGCTACCAAAGTAGCAGTGCCTCCCACCCTCCAAGTATTTTAAACAGTGCTAATGTTAAGCCTCTTTGATTGAAATTTGTGGAAACAGCCGAGGAAAATATTATGCGAGGCCGATAGAGACTTTGCGTGGTGCGTGCCGCGGTAATGCTGGTCATCACTTTTTTTTTCGCGTATGTTTTGACATCTTTTTCACCTTGTATTTTACTTTTTTGTACGCTAATATACAGTGGAGTCCTTGAAAATGATGGAGACTGTGTTAGGGAATTAATTGACCAATTTTTCAAAATCCTGACAACCCACCCCCCCCCCAATTTGAACTGATCGGCTATACTTCAAAGTGAAGTAATATTGTTTCGCATTCATTTTCACAGTTTTTTTTAATGCAATACCTGAATTTACGCGATCGCCATCATGATTTTAACCGCCTCCCTGACACGCTGATTGTGCACGCAGTGGTCACGGAAAAATTTTTATGTGCTGTATCTTGGTAAGCTATCTCTGTTTGCTGGTAAGTGCTTGGCTATGGCACTTACCCGGAATGAAGTTGTACCTGAAGACGCAAACAATCACCAAGTTTCTTCAACTAGTTTTTTTTTTGTTAATCCGCGCCAGCCAAACACGCCGGTACTTTTCGGAAAATCAACATGTGTGTTCTCAATTTTAGGTAATAACTTTCGGCGAAGAAACACTCCCAAGCTCTGCTCCGTCTTCGGGGACTACTAAATCAACTTGCCTCACTAAGAGCCCTCAAACTTGCATCTTGAGGCAAAACTAAACGAGCGCAAAACACGAGGAGACAACACGGCAGTGGAAGGTGATAGAGTCTGTAGGTACCCGGGCATGTCAGTGGCGCATTTCGGAAGTGAGGAAGGGGCTCTGCGTGACGCACGTGCACACTATGTGTAATTGTGGTTAGAAGAAGGTGCCTATTTTCTGCAGCCCAGAAGGGAAGTTTTTCACCCTCACTGTCCTTTTAATGCGGTCACCTTGCAGTTAATACTTTTTTTCTACTTGTTTCTTTCCTACAACAAACAGTAAATAATTTTGGCGCGTTAGACTTATCCAGAAAGTGTTGGAGTGTACGACTTGGAGGTTTGTTGTTGTTGTTGTTTTGTGGATGAGGTAGGTGGGGAGAGGATTGGGCGTAAGCAGCTGGCGCCAAACTCAGTGGTTGCGCGCAGAGGCCGCGTACGCTCTCGTCACCGTGTTTTACAGCGTTGCATAAGCTTAATTTTACGAGAGTTGTTATACAGATATGCAAGTGTCGCACAGTTGACTCAATTTAGGTCGCAATCACGCCCGAGATCTGGATTCTTGGTTGTGATTGCCTTCTTTGAGGAAGTTGCGTAAAGGAGCGAATTGATCATTGTTGGATAGATGTATCCGGCTGTGCCCTTATAGCTGGTGGAGGCTCACGCCACCTAGCCATAAATTTAAATACTATCCTTGTGTGTTTTAAGGATAAATTTAACTCGCGCCTTGATTGTAGCCACCATTCAGTTAATTTCCTGCTGGTTATTTCTACCCCTTTAAAATCTATTTTGCCAGTACTGTCCCTAAAGCCCAATGCTTTGGAAAATTCCACGTCATTATCTTAATCTTAGACTATAAGGTGGAGCCCTTTACAGAACATTATCAAATGTTCAGCCGTTTTCTCCTCCTCTGCACACGCACTACATACCGTGCCTGCGCCTTCTTATTTGGCTCGGTACGTCTTGGTCTGCAATACTCCTATTCCGGCCTCAAACAGCAGAAAACTACCCCGAGAATTATCGTAGACTTTTTCTTTTGCAATTTCCTGCTTGTAGTTCGGTAGGTCTCCAGTTATGATTTTGCAGGCATTCCAATTTTCCACATGTTCCTCTCTGTTTCCTTCACCTTCTTCTTAACCGATGTTTCCTTTTGGCTTGGTATTTTGCTGTTGTCTAAATACTTGCTTGACAATTTTCGAGCTCGTTTCCTTCATTTACTACCAACATTCTTCATGTACAAGTAGCTGAATACTTTCCTAGCCCAACGCTCTTCTCCAATTTCGCTCAATTGCTCCTCAAAATTTATTTTGCTGCTAGCTTCCCTGCACTCAAACGATGTCCATCTCATGTCACCCTGTACCCCCTGATTTGGTGTATTCCTGTGTGCTCCGAAAGTAAGTCTACCTATGCCACGTTTTTAATTTTCAATCTTGCTTCAACGTCTGATTTCATGCACAAGACCGCATTGCCTAGCATCAAACCCAGGACTATGACATTTTTCCAAATCGCTCTCACAACGCCATACCCATTGTAGTTCCACAGTGCCCTATTTTTCATTACAGCTGCATTCCTGGTGCCCTTAGTCATTACGTATCTTTCGTGCTCCCTTAGATACTCAGCCCCATTATTTATCCATACGCCCATATATTTGTATTTATCCACTATATTTAGCGTGACTTCCTGTATCTTATGCTCAACGCCTTTGTTATCATTAAAAAATCATGATTGACGGTTTTTCCCAGCTGAACTTCAAATTTAATCTATCTCCCTCATCACCTCTATGTCCCTTATTAACGAAGATGTCTATCAATCCCTGCAGATTTTCCTTGTCGTTGGCTAATAATACTATATCATCTGTATACATCAATGCTGGTAATGACGGTTCAATGTGTTTTCCTCGCTTGGCAAAAGAGAGGCTAAAGCAGAGTCGACTCCCCTCTAATTTGGCGTCTAGTCCCTGTAGATATAGCATAAATAACAAAGGTGACAAGGGACATCCCTGTCAATGCCCGCGTTGTATCTCTATAGGTTCAGATACCTGTTCTTTCCATATTGAAACTACGTTGTTATATTATAGATATCCTTTAAAAGATTAGTTATTCCATATTCCACATCTAGTGTGTCCAGTATTCTCCGCAAGTCTTCTTGAATCACACTATCATAAGCTCCCTTGATATCTAGAAATGCCAGCCACAAGGGCCTGTGTTCGTTTTCCACTAGTTCAATACACCGCATCATTGAAAACAGATTGTCCTCCAACCTTCTACGTTTACGAAACCCATTTTGTACTTTTCTCAGCACCCCCTCACTCTCCACCCATGTCCGTATTCTTACCTTTACTATCTACATCACCATCCTGTAAACTACTGATGTCACTGTTATATGACGGTGGTTGTTTTGCCCCCAGCTTTGCCCCCTTTTCTTTATAGATCATGTTCATCTTGCTTAGTTTCCACTCATTGGGAGCTTCACCATCCATTATTGCTTTGCTCGCTGTCTCTCCTAATGTTTGCTTAGAGTTTGGTCCTAGTTTATTTATTAGCATAATAAAGATGCCGTCAGGGCCTGTTGATGTGTTATTAGGAATCCTTTTTTCTGCCCTTTCCCATGCTTGTTGTCCCAGTGCAGCCATTGCGCTAATTGGTCCATCCTCATCTGTTACAGTGCATGCAGTGCTTTGTTGGTGTTCAAATTTTTCTGTCATTATTGTTTTTATATATTCCATTGCCTCATCCTCTTCTAGTCTGACCCTTTGAACTGTAGTTATGAACCTCTGTTCCATGATTATCTTATTAGCCCCGCCACGGTGGTCTAGTGGCTAAGGTACTCGGCTGCTGACCCGCAGGTCGCGCGATCAAATCTCGGCTGTGGCGGCTGCATTTCGGATGGAGGCGGTAATGTTGTAGGCCCGTGTACTCAGATTTGGGCGCACGTTAAAGAACCCCAGGTGGTCAAAATTTCCGGAGCCCTCCACTACGGCGTCTCTCATAATCGTATGGTGGTTTTTGGACGTTAAACCGCACAAATGAATGAAGGAATGAATGATGATTATCTTATTACTCAGAGAATTGACATGGTTCCAAAACTTTGCAGCTGCCTTTCTATCCTTTTTGTTTACTTCCGCCATCCATTGGGCCCCCTTTCTTCTAATCTCTTCTCTGGTCATATTGGATGCTTCCCTTCTAAAACTCAAAAAGTTACCCCATTTTCTTTTGACATGACCTTCCGGTTCATCCCTCTGTTTAGCATACCTGTGTTCCCTGGAGGCTTCCTGATGTCTTACTATGGCTCCCTTAACTTCCTCATCCCACCAGCTCTTGGGTTTGTGCCTGTTTTTCCCGGTTGATTTGACTCGTACCTTAGCAAGCTATAACTCAAACAATCGAGTTAGATTTGTGTACGTCCACTCTACTTTAGTATCCTCGGTGATTTTTTCTGAATGTTTTTTGTTGCTATTTTTGTTGGCTTTTCTGAATAAACATTACCATGTGGTTGCCTATAATGCCTCCTTTCCATTTTCATTTCTCTTCCAAAACTCGGCTTGATATGTTGGTGTTCACTACCTAAGTTTCTGGACCCATAGTCATCTATGTTCATCACCCTTAGCAGATCATACATCCTATGTGACATCATTGCGTAATCTACCGTCAACTGCAGGCTTCCCACTTCCCATGTTATCTGCCCTTCGCATTTCTCGGTACTTTTGGAAGTAATAATTCATGCTTTTCACACATATCCATCAGCATTCTCCTGTTCGGTCAGTGTATCCATCCATATCTTCTATGTGCACATTCATATCTCCTAATGTAATTACCTCACACACTTCTCCTAGTTCGTCAATGTCATTTCCTATGCACTGCACCGTTTGTTGATTTTTCTCGCTGGCTTTGGCCCCTGTCCACAAGTATACAAAACCCAGAAGCGTCATCTGCCCTGCCATTTTACCTTTTAGCCATAAAGGTTCCCTGCACTCCTGCTTGACCCTTTGCCAGTCTGTACTTTTATGAATACCACCCCCCTTTCTCCTGCCTTCTGTTCTATTACAATATTTCCATTGCATAGTGCGGGTTGCTAGGTGGTTATTCATGTCCCTTAAGATGGGTTTCTACAAACCCATATACTATCAGCTTTTCCTTCCCTTAGCTGTTTTTCTATCTCTCCCCACTTCATCCTATTCTTTCCACACTGCATATTAATATACCCTACATCTATATTGGCTCGGTCCTCGTGCCTACGTCGATTGCTCCTTCGGACTCTACGTGCCTATCATTTGCAGGAAAGTGAGCGCCTCCTGTCGCGTAAACAGGAGAGCTTCACTTGTGCTTTTGGTTGGAAAACATCTTTGCCGACAAACATGTCCAAGGCAGTGTTTAGTGGTTCAAATGCGCTTGTTTTGTTGCTTTAGGGCTAAAAACGCCGCCCATTATTGTTAAGAGGCTAAAGGAGGAAAACATTTCGTTTACATTTGTATACACGGTGTAAAACAAGGATTTATGAGCAACAACCAAGTGAGGGTATACCTGCACTCTGCCACCTCGACCATTCGCCAGGCTCATCAAGCCTGCTCCTTCAGGAAGAACATTATGTTATACTCTTAAAGCTGACGCTTGAAATATCTGATGATGAACCAGGTTCGGTGATGGCAGCTTACGCACTCTCTGCGAGGTGCCGTGTTTGCGTGATAACGGCAGTGTTTGCCATTACTGCAGGTCGCATCGTTAGAACGCACTGCGATTGTGTTATCTGGAGATATTCTAATATATATATATATATATATATATATTATATATATATATATATATATATATATATATATATATATAGGTAGAGTGTACTATAGTCGTGTCTAGGACACTCTAATATAAGTGCCTCTAGTTGAAATTGCCAAAGTGTCAAATGAAGATGTAATAATGAATATGCACTTTTGTAATACACTACAGTTGTTTTCTTTACGTAACAGGATTTTCTCCTGCTATACATAAAAGGGCTATAGATGCAGTTGCCACTATTGTGGTTATTGAACTAAATTACTTGTGCTTCTATGAATAATGGTTTGCGCAGATACGTGAGAGTGCATCCTCACGTATTAACAGAAGTATTGTGCCTAGACTTGGTCTCACCCACCATGCGATCTGAGGCTTCGTACAAGGCAGGACAACCCCATAGGTATTGTTTAGGGAAAAAGTAGTTTTGTTGTACTTGCGTGCCTTCACTGGAATAGGAGCGGTGAAAACAGTGAGCGGAAAAAGCAGTCTGAGCATGAGAGTTTTTGGTTCAAAAATAACCTTGCAAAAAGCTGCCCTGCGGATTTTTGCAAATGGTCACTTGGTGTTCCACGAAATTCACAATGAAACAACTAACACTACGTAAATACTTTGACTGCATCAGATGTTTACTATCATGCTCATCATTTCTTTATAAAGTGACTGCTTTTTTTTAAGGGTAAATTAGGTAAATTATCATTCATGTTTCCTGCACAATTTATTTGTTTTTCTTTTCAACATTGTCTTAGTCGTGTATGGCTCCAAAGCTGTATGCAAATGAAAACATTGCCTCATTTCTTTATGACATCAGTAATAGCTGCTTTTATGTTAAATTGGATGTGATGCCTGATAATTTCAGATGGATATTCAGATCATTGATCCCATATCACTTCCTTGTTTCAGGTTAAGGTTGGGCTAGCATAAAGATGATTTTCCCACCTCATGTACAGCCCTTCGACAGCACTTCGGACACGGAATTCATTGAAAGACAGCTGAGGGTTCGTAATGTTATATCTTTATATTTATCCCTAGGGCCTTTTCATAGTGCCTGCATCTGCAAGTACAGACCTCATAATAGGTTTCACTTGCTTATAGTATGAAGTCATATTCCTATCGTAATCACTGTTTTTAAACTGAGTGCACCAGTGTAAAGTGGATTATATCTTGGAAACCTTTCATTGAATGTTAGCTTACAGTGAATACTAAATTATGTAATGAATTGCATGTCGTTCACACCTCTAATGTGTGCATTGCCAAAAACTGTACAAAATGGCTGCTCAATCTATTGTACTAATATTTATTGCCATTTATATGTGTTGCACCATCACGTCAGCACTAACTGAAAAGAAAAAAAAAATGTTTTTGCGAACTGTAAACAAGAATGTTGGGAACTGTATGCTGGAATACCAGTGTATTTATCTTTCTTGAATGACTTATTTAGTGATGCATATCTTGAATATAATTCAAAGATTACAATAGAAATGGAAGACACACAAGCATATCTATGTACCTATTCAGCTACAGGACCTAAACTTCCAATTCCTCAATTACCACTTGCCAGCTATGCATAGCCAGCTATGCATCAACTGGATTTATGTATAGCCATTTTCTTACAAATATAGATTTATCACTGCCTCTTCTTGGCTTTGTCACTCTTGCTTGAAGTAAAGAACATTAAGCAAAGGGTAGCAGCCCCACAATGGTATGTCTCACATTCTTGAGATCAAACTTCAATCAAGGGTGATTTTTTTTTTAATTTGCATAGTGCAAGCTTTGCTTCTGCAACAGTGCTGTATGTTGCCCAATGATAGTCTTTTGAGGCATTGTCGTGCTTCTTAGCACGCATGCATGTGTTTTTAAAACACTGAATTTATGCCTATGCTTTTGTGTTCTTTTCTAGGCATGCTTGTACCAGTGCAAGCAGCTTAAATGGGATGGCAATGCTTATGGAGAGCATTCCTGGGTCAAGGAACTGGCACAGTTGCTCAGCCACCGTGGTTTTTTATCACACAAGAGCCAGGCAGTGCGACAGTTGACAGCACACTGCCATACCTATTTGATGGTGTTAACAATCAATGATGTGCCATACAGCTGCACCAGTCTCATGGCAAGTTACTGGTGCAATTCTTACTACTAATTATTTGAGACTTTTCATTTTGCCTGCAACTTGGAAATTGCTGTTGTCATGCTGATGTGTTGTTACTGAAGAGACAGAAACATGGAAGTGAAGACTGAAAATCAAACATGCAAATTCTGAGTTCTGGCTAAGATTAAAATGACTTATATTGGTTAGGTTCTGTGGCCCGTGCCTGCTTGTGATGTCACTTGCCATTAGACAGCACTTGTAGGCAGGTGCGTGCATGTATGTGCAATGCCATACAAGAATGCGGATTGCCGATTCAGAACCTGTCTTGACAGCCGAAGAAATGCTACACATAGCCAAAATTGTAGAGGTTTAAACCCCACTTTCATCTCTCCATAGCCATGCAAATGGCCTTCTTCATAACGTCAACTTAATTGAAGTTTCACAGAAGCATTAGTAGCACACAGTAGATTTTATAGAAAATACAGATAGTTCTCGTTAAGTTGATTGACACTGCCCTTAGCCCTCGCAGCAATTCATGGAGTTGTATTGATTCTTACAAACCACGGTTTTATTTGTTTATGTGATTTGCATACACGAATACACAAGGACAGAGAGAAAAGAAAGAGAAAGCAAGCTGGCAACTGCCACCTGAAGGGGCACACTACTCTTTTGGAAGGAGGGCAGAGACAGAGGGAAGGAAGATAGGAGGTAGGAAAAAAAAGAGGGAAGTAAAGAAAAAAAAGTCTATAAATTGGTGGCCATAAAAGTCGGTAGAGCGCGATGGGCTTCAGATTGCATCCCATCTCTGTAATTATATCCATGTAAATTCTTTGACCCTAATGTTTCAGAGCTCTCCTGCACTGAGTTTCATCGATGTTGGCTGGCATCAACCTAACTAATAGAAAAAATGAGGTCAAAAGAGAACGTATGCAGCGTCTGTCGATGTCGTGAGTCACTGGCCTCTAACCTCTCTTTTTTCCTGTGTCATGTGTGCTGGCCCCTTTGTTGGTGCTCGTGTTCATACAGGGCTAGCGTTTGCACTGCGGCTGACTTCGCTTGCCGAAACAGGGCTGCCGGCGTTTCACTTGGTTCACAATGCCTGCAATGCGTGGAGTGATTTACGCAGCACACAAGCACTGTCAGTTTCTTTGGCAATATATAACGAATGCTGCATTGCCGCAAGTGCAGATAGCCTAAGATTCAAACACAGACAGTTGGTGTTATCCCGACATGAAGGTGAACTTGTGATTCACGTTAGGCAGTACAGTAATCATGGGTAAATTTTTTTTTTCATTTTGTTATTCTTCATCTTGTTTCACTCAGTGAGCTGTTTTACAGATGAACCCCTTTATAAAAGACATGCTCCGGGCAGCAATTTCTGTCTTTCATATGAGAGGTCTCTTATGACCAGATTAACGTGTATGCATTTCCTTATCAACCTGTATTTTGATTGATTGATTGATATGTGGGGTTTAACGTCCCAAAACCACCATATGGTTATGAGAGACGCCGTAATGAAGGGCTTCGGAAAGTTTGACCACCTGGGGTTCTTTAACGTGCACCCAAATCTGAGCACACGGGCCTACAACATTTCCAACTCCATCGGAAACGCAGCCGCCGCAGCCGGGATTCAAACCAGCGACCTGTGGATCAGCAGCCGAGTACCTTAGCCACTAGACCACCGCGGCGGGGCTCCCCTGCTGACTTCGGCACCTGACTTCTGACTTTTGTATTTCTGTATTTTGCTGTTGGCACAATGGTACGCCTACATATACCGATTTGTCTCTTATATTATTGTCCTTTTCAATGGGTTCAACTGTATCTGATCGTATCCCGGCTGTGGCGGCTGCATTTCCGATGGAGGCGGAAATGTTGTAGGCCCGTGTACTCAGATTTGGGTGCACGTTGAAGAACCCCAGGTGGTCAAAATTTCCGGAGCCCTCCACTACGGCGTCTCTCATAATCATATGGTGGTTTTGGGACGTTAAACCCCACAAATCAATCAATCAATCAATCAACTGTATCTGATGACTACAGTGGTGCGACACTGTGCTTTACACAGTTCTTTCCTGCACATTTCTTGTGCTTACTCCAAATTTTTCACATTTCAGCAGGTGTTGCGGTTGCTAGTGGATGAGCTAGCGTTGCTACATGACCACACTAGTCCAGCACATGACGAGCGCCGCAGTATGTTTGAGGCACGTAAATTTTGATGCATTTCATTGTTCTTGCAGACATCTCTAGAAGCATTTGAGTCTCAATGCGTGTTCTATAACAAGTAGTGGACATTTATGAAGAGACGTGAGGTCATACACACTGCACACAAATGCATACTGCAATGAGTGAGCAGGGCTTGTTATGAACGATTTCAGAGGTCATTGCTTCACACTATCTCAAATGAGGACTACCGTAAAGCATCATTAGAAACTGCCAGTACCTTATATTTTTCTTTTATCTGTAGCTATAATGCAGTTTTACCATTCCTAAAGGCATAAGCAATGTGTGAGAGTATAAGTATATCATGTGTTTTTGTGATATGGAGATGTCTAATTTTCATAATAGACCCTTTTCAGAAATACGCCACCTGACGGTGAGCTTTTCGTCAGTTTTGCTTTGCAAAGGAGCGTGGTATAGCTAGTGCCATCATGAGGGCATGGAAAGCGAGTCGTCAAATCCGTGAGCGCTGTAATTTTTGTGTTGGTGGCTAGTTCTTCGTATCATTCGCTGCAATCGCACCGCTTTCCAGCTTGAACGAGCTCCGATAAGTTTTCTGAACTGCTTCCGCTGCACAATGAGCAATATTTTGTACCAACGGGTTGGACGGGCAGTTTGGCTCATTATCACTGGCAATGCATGGATCCGGCCTTCAAGAGACTCTTGTTGGCGTGCCCTCCCGATGCAGTCCGCGTCCTGCGGGAACTGCAAAAGGTGTCTGTGTGCGCTGTGAGAAATGTGCATCAGCGTCGCTGGGACACACATCCTGCGTCATCTGCTGTGTTGCCCTCACAATGGCGGCAGAATGTAGTTCGCGTTATCGGTGCTAGGGGCGCCCTTTTTCGAAAAGGGTCTATTATGCAAGGAAAGAAAAAACAATCCAGTGTATGCAATGCACTCCTGAATGATTTCAGGATGGCTCACAGAGACAATATGTATGTCTAAATATTTGTGAAAGTGTAGATTAGAGAAGTGAACTGAAAATTTTGCCTTTACTAGTAGATTCTTCAGGTATCAGTTTTTAATGTTCATTTTGGTAGTCAATAAGCCACCACCTTTTCACAGCTTTTGCATTCCTGAACATTGTTTACACATGAATAAATAAACATCTGCATACCTTCTGTAACAAGCAATATATATGTTATTGCATAATTTGATATTTTCTATATTCTAATAAAAAATCAATAAACTTTATATATTCTCATAATTTTAAGGCTTAAATGCTTTGTGTTTATGTTGTTTTCTCATCTTTTTCTTTCTGTTTTTTCTTTCTGCAGACATTAGGTCGTGAGAAACTATTTATTCTTATGCATCCGAAAGGGCGGAAGTTTGGTGCCATCATTCACAACTTGGTCATTGCCCTTTATGACGCTGTCAGGTGAATAACATAAAAAATGTATCTTGACGACTTCCAAAAGAAACAAGACACTAGCTTCACTTGGTCAAGCCTTGTACAGCATCTTGGCCAACGTATAAATGTGGATGCACAACCTTCTAAGCTATGTTAGTTGAGTGGGCTCCCAATAAAACAAACTCGGTTAAGCCAATATTTTATATTTAAGGAGCAATTTGTGAGCATTTAATTAGTTGACTCATAGATCCAGTAGGTACAAGCCCCTAATTCAGCTAAGCCAGACTTGTGCATTTCTCAACATTTGTACCGGTCTTGCCAAGCACAACATCGATTGATAACCAATTCAACCAGCATAAAATTTTCTAGCAGTTGGAGATTGACGCTTGCCAGCTTCTGGATTGCTGCATCAAAAGGGAAAAGGATGGGAAACAAGTATGACTCGTTATGAAATAAAAATACCCGAGTTTTGAATTAAGAGGAGAGTGGTCCTTAAATGAGCTGTGACAGGCTTGGTACAGTCACGTCTTGTAGCACACAATTTTTTTCTTCTTTTCCTTCATACTGAATTTTGTCGCAGTTTGTTTACCTAAATAAAGCGACAAGAAATTGATAAAAAGAAATGTCCCAAGGATCAGCAACAGAACTTACACCTTAGCTACATTTTATATATGGCCTAGCTACTCTTCCCACCGCTGATTGGAGGTAAAAAAAATGAAATTTTTTTGCACTACAAAAGAACCATTTTCTGCTCTGGTAAAATCGAGTTCTCTTGTGGAAATATTGGCTTCTAAGATGTTTTTTATTCAGCGACTTCTAATCACTTCATTCCTCCAATTTTCTTTATGTCCCTCTTGTAAGCATTTCAGCAGCAAGTTTTTTCAATTACTTTTGACAGAGTGAAATCAAAAAGTTTATGACATGAGAAGGGTAGTTACACAAAATTATTATAGTAATACTGTAGCTTATTAGCTTTTTATTACTCTGGGTGATTTGGTGCATAGCGTAATGAAAGAATAACGAATCAAGATGAAATAACAAGAAAAAACAGCACGACAGTATTCTTTTGTCAAGTTATACTATAACATTCCAAATTGATTGGCAAGAATGGTTTGTCAAGTAATAATTGACGCTGTAATCTAATCATGTATGATGTGTGCATCCATGGGCACTTCATGAAATCCACCATGTGCTCTTCCTCTGCAGCCAAAGCCTCCACCTCATTTCCGCAGTTGGGGAGTTTCTCTCACCAATACTAAATAACCTCGAGTTACCAAATGAGACACTGGAATATGTCTTTCAACACCTAATTCTACCTTTAAAGGTAGGAGGTGCATTTAGTCTTTTTACTTTTTTAGTGCAACTACATAATTTCATGCATAATTGAAAAAATAAAACTGTGCTAAAAACAAAACACTAGAAACGAACGAGACAGGACAATCGCAAACTAACAACTGGTATATTGAAAGATTCACCATCCTTATAAAACAAAACTAAGCACGCACGCAATGACAGTTATGACCACGTAATAAGTTGCACCACTCCCAAGACTACCATCTACTAAGAAGGAAATCGCACTCTTTCTTAAAAGGATACACGGATTTGTCGCTGATGCACTTATCAGACCCGTCCCTAGCTATCCAAGAGGTCTTCAAAATTTCTCTTGCTCTTTGGCTCGCCCTATCACCTTGGTGCTACTGAAGATGGGCTTGCATCCCTGCGTGCATGTGCCACGATGAACTGGTAGGTGCTCCCCACTTCAGTCTCTTATTGAATTAGCATGCTCGATGAAACGCTTGTTAATACACTTTCCGGTATGCCCCACATAAGATGTACCCTGTACATAAAAAGAGGTTTACAAGTTCCCCCTGGCCTGTGTAATGGTTGATGTGGGGCAGACCAGATGGTGTATTAACAAGTGTTTGATGGAGCATGCTAATTCAAAAGGAGACGAAAATTGGGAGCACTTCGAGTTCATATTGGTGCATGCACGCAGGGATGCAAGCTCATCTTTTGTAGTACAAAGGTGACAGGGCAAGCCAAAGAGGAAGAAAAATCTTGGAGGCCTCTTGGATAGCTAGGCATAGGCCTGATAAGTGCATCAGCGACAAATCCGTGTATCTTTCCAGGAAAGAGCGCGATTTTCTTCTTAGTAGTGGGAGTCTTGGGGGTGGTGCAGCTTGTCCCGTGGTTGTGACTGTCACTGCGTGCGTGCTTAGTTTGTTTCATAAGGGTGGTTTCAATAAACCAGTTGTTAGTCTGCGATCGCCCTGTCTCCTTCGTTTCTAGTGTCTTGTCTTTAGCATAGTTATATTTTTTCAATTATGTCTTGCCAACTAGCTTCCCAACATACCCTTCTCGAGTTCATTCTGTCCAGTTATCGTGAGGCCTTTTTGTACTTTTCATCCAAAATATTTTTTTTTGTAGCTCAGAAATTGCATAGTTTTAGTGATTATGGCAGTAATTGACTGTACTACGTATGGTGCTATTTTGTAGAGATTCATTTCCTTTCTCACTCTTTTCTGCCTTCGTAATCATTACCGACACTTCTGTTGTCACCGAGATTAGCACAATGGCATTATAATAACAAGAACAAAAAGATCAAATAAATGTTATAAAGCACTGACTCTGGGATTTTTATCATGTTAGCTTCTTTTTTTTCTGTGTATGCAGCTACATCTATGTGGGTGTACTATCAGCGTGAAATGAAAACCGAACAGCGGCAAGCCTTCGTTATGGTATAGTGCACGCTGCCCACTTATCACTACGAAGAGGCGCGCATATAGGCGCAAAGCCGCTGAACAAGATGCACGAACCTGTCAATGATAACTGGATGGCTCGCACTACACTATGGCAAAGGCTTGCCACTGTTTGGGTTTTATTTAATGCTGATAGTACAGTGGGGATGATAAAAAATTGCAAACAGTGTGTCATCTGCATTCTCTGCTGTTTCAAGCAGTTGTAGCCTGGATGGTGATAAAAAGCCACTAGTCATTTGTGATATAATCAAAAACCATTCTAGCATCTTTTTATAGCCACTGAGGTCTGAGCACGACAGAAACAGCACGTTGCACTGTTTGCAGTTTTTTTTTCTTTCATTTATTCTGTGTATATACCTTGATGCTTATCCTTATAGCCTATTTTTATATTTCTCTGTATTAGTTAAAAAGCTGCCTATGCATTTAGCAGCAGTGTTGAGCTTGTTCTGTCATCCATTAGTCAACATAAAGTGGCAGGACGTTCAATGTGGAATTACTACATGCTGACTCACTGATGTCAAAGAAGCTAGCATTTCAAAAGCAGCTTTTGATGTTTCCTACATAGTTTATGTGTCACTTTTCACTTATGGCCCAGGAATGCTCAGTGAAGTGCTTTGAATTACTGCTGCTAATGTATTATTCTTTCTTTTTTTTGTTCATGAATATTTGGTGGCTCTGCAGGAAAAAAAGCCTTACTGCTATTCGCTTTCAAAAGACCTTGTAGAGAATGCATCTTTATCCCTGCAAGCGACAATAGAAAAGGTGGGTAGTCAATAGGCCAAGTTTTTTTTTTTTCATATGAAATGGTTTTTTCTTAAAAGATAACTCTTATATGCATGACAGTTCACCATTTTTACTGATGAGCTAAGAGGCAGGGCTGACACGAGCAATGACACGAGCAATTGAAATGAATTGCACGAATTAACTTTTTAGTTGCTAACTTCATGACACATTAAATTTCAAAATTGAAGCCTTGGAGTCGTAAATTTATCTATTTAGCAGAAATCGTTCTTGTTTTTCCTGCTAAAATATGGCACATCTGAATTTCTTTGGCTATTGTTTTGTTGCCTATACTCTGTTTCACCATTTTGGTTCAACACTACCAAAGCTACAGGGTGTAAGAAAACTGCACGCTTGCGCAGCAAAACGTAGTTGACGGGGTTGACAGGAATTGGAGTTCTTTTGGTGTGTTTTACGCCACATCGCTACAGGATGTGTTGATTGTTCTTCGCATTTATTTCCTATGCATTTTATTATTTATGTCAGTTACCGCCGATAACTTTGTTTACAAATCAACATGGCAGCACCCATGCAGAAGTTACTTTCTGCTTCCACGTGCGCTGGATGAAAAAGCGCACGGGTACGGCCCGCCGCGTGCTCCGAAACCGGCGTGACAGGTCTAGTTACCCGGATTGAGTGCGTGCACCTTTGTGTGACTCACGAAATCTTCTTTTAATATCTGTCTTGCTTGTTCCCATCTGGTAATTACTGATCTTGCTTTTACATGCCTTCAGCCTTTGCAAATTTTCGGTATTGTCTTGCCCGAGATGCAACCTTGCGCACTGATCAGTTTTCACGGAAGTAAGATGAGCAAATTTTACTGGGATAGTACTACAACATCACAACTAACCGATCTGGAAGAGTTACACCTTTCCAAATGCATTGAAATTCATTATAGTAATTGTGTGTATGTCACTTCAGAAAACGTTGCTTTAGATTTAATAATGTCATTTAGAATAATTAGGTAACCTCAGCAGTTGCAGTTGTCACTTTTTATGGACCTTTCCGGAAATCGCAGCACCACGCCTTCCCCTGGCGGATCAGGGCTGGAGCATTATAGGAAAGCGGAGCGCCGGGCGGGCAGAGCAGACGTTTTCCCGTTTTCGCTTGCGTTCTGGGGCTGGCGTAAGCTGCTGCTCTTGTGAATCTACTTCTGAGTGCTCTGATTTTCATGCTCACCAACTAGCTTGTAGTGCTCACCACAAATAGTCAGAATCATCACAGAACATGTCGAAGAAGAAGAAAAGCGGTGGATAAACCTGCTCTGTTCGTGGCTGTCATAAGACTTGAAAGACATCGGACGTCTCGTTTCATAGCTCAGTGCTACTCCAGGACTTGAATTCTTGTGATGCTGCAGCTAAGTTTGACCTTTGTTAAGACATTTGAGTTCTCATTTACTGTGATTAAGGGGCTGGGGTTGTACCATTGAAGCATACCACGTAATACACAAAGTTATAGGGGTGACACCGTTAGATGCCTCATTAAAAAAAATCACACGGTCCCTTGCGCATTCGCCTAAGGAGACACGAAGGTGAACACCATCTTGTTTTTATTGTCAGTCGATGTGCAAATTTTACCCCGCCAGTCCAAGAGTGTGAGCAAGATGATCCCATGAGTGTGAACCTGTCTTGCATCGGGGCTGGGGGAAAGCACTGGTGTAGCTTGAGCCTGGGCAAGTGCTGGTGTGCCTTGGGGTACTAAATGTTTGGAACTCCTTCGCTCATAGAACCAGTGCAAAGCCACTTTAGGTGCAGAAAACCTTCGCATGGGTGTGGGAAAGACCAATAAACCAACTGAATAAAAAAAAAAAGACTGCTTTCGCCTTTAAGTCGTCTTGGGTGAATTCATAAAAAACACTGCAAGTTTTTTTATTGCAGTCTTACTTAGTGTTTATTTTGCTGTTTACTGCTTGGTCATGTTCAATCGTATTTGCTTGTTATTCACCATAAACCTAGAGGCCTCACTCATTGTGGCTTTGCGCACCTCTTTTTTTTTTTTGTTCTCTGTGTCAAGGCAAAGAGTGTTTGTTGTAGTTTCATCATTATAGATACAAAAGCGACACTCGCAGCCAGGTAATCGTTGCCAACTGATGCAAGCGATGCTGCGGTATTCTATACATTTCCCACGCTGGAATAAGGCAATTGCTTTCAAAGTCAGTCTCACCATTAGCAGCCTTGAACAGCATTACTTATCAACGTTTTCTGGCTTGAGCATACTGTGCCCAGACACAGAGTGCTTATTACTATCATGAGAATGCTCTATTCTGCGGAATTTTTCGTTCTGAATACGGCTGAGGCGAGTCCTTCAGATATTTTGCCCATAGCCATTTTGGCAAAGGTGATAGGAATGGCTGTATGATTTCTACAGCTTTGAGAGCCATCTTCATAGAAACTACAAATTACTAAATTAGCATAATCACAAACTGTAATGAAACAAGGAATCACGGAAGCTCAAGCAGTAAAATGGAATATTGTGTAAATTGTGCACACTAATGCCCATTATGTTATATATTTCTTCCCATTGTTACCCTTTGTGAAGTAGGGTCGAAAATTCTTAAGTTCTTATCAGGGACCACACAGAGACAGTATGTTTTACGCTGTTTCGAAAAAAAAAAATGCTGCACAGGTAAATGTGCAGAATATTCTCGCTTCATGAAGTGCGACACTGCACTGTAACTAAGTAATCTCTGCACCCGACAATACTCACTTGATGTCCGCTCCCTGGGCATGCTGGTAGCTGGTTTTTGCTATACTCTCAGTGTTCCAAGTGCGATGTTTGTCAGGCACAACATTTGAAACAGGCAATTAGTATTCGAATCTACCAGCATAGTGGGGCTCGAACCAATTTATAAGGGTCAAATTTTGATATTGATTATCATGCACGAAGTGCCGCGGTCTTGCACCGCATATTGTGCAGAAGCATATCACAAGTGATAGTGCCTAACATAATGTACTAATAGTAAAGCTGTATAGTCATGCTGAATATAAAACAAAAGAGAAAAGCGTCCTCTACCTACTAATAGTAAAGCTGTATAGTCATGCTGAAAATAAAACAAAAGAGAAAAGCGTCCTCTACATGAAAATATGACCAATGAAGCGCACAGGCCCGCCGCAAAAGCCCGGTGCATGTTAAAAAACCCCAGGTGGTCAAAATTTCTGGAGCCCTCCTCTACGGCGTCTTTGATAATCATGTGGTGGTTTTGGGACGTTAAACCCCACATATCAATCAGTCGCTGCAAAAGTCAAGTCATGTTTCCAATTCAATGGGCTCTTTCGCGGGTATGTTAGCATTTTCCCGGGTTTCAAATAAGTCAAGCATACTTTGACTTTATGTTGCTCTCTGTTGTGCCTCTTCTGTGAGTGCAGATTGAAGCAGGATTGTCATACGTGATGGTCCTGCAAGGATGCGTTTGTACGGCCACGCACTGCGGAAAACAAGGTTAGCCAACGCTTCCGCGAGCAGACCACACTCCGCCAGCGCTCTGGCTTCCCATAATGCTTTGCGGCCAGCCTAGGTGGCACGCGCCAATTTCTGGAAAGGTCCATTTAAGACAAGATAAAATAGACTTTTTACTTCCTCCAAGCGCATCTATATATTCATACTATACAGTATCGGGTACAACAGGCACGAAATAATATTTAGCATGTGTGCAATCTCATATAAGTAAACTCAAGCCGCCTTAAAATTTTTGTGACTGTAACTTCAATGATGACAATTGAGCGAGCTGTTATGCAGTGAATAATATGAAACTTGTGAGATGAAAAGAGCGACGAAAGGCTGAAATATGTGAACACAACAGCCTGCGTTTCTCCGTTTTTAAATGGTTTCATCTCTTTTTGTCACGACGCTCTTACCATAATGCAACTAATTCAACCTTACATTTTACAGTGAACACATATTCGAAACAAAATGCGCGAAAATATTTTATTTATGCTCAATTTAGGGCTGACTCTGGCATTTTTTTTTAACTTTCTTTACACCTTTGCATAATAAAAGGAATTGACCATTGCTTCACAGCTTCACCGGCAATATTTTTCAAGGCAAATTCATTCATTCATTCACAAAACTTTATTAGTGTCCTGAAGCCCACTCTTTTGAGACCGAGGCGGGCCGCTTTCACGTCGGTACCGTCCGGCCGAGCCTTGTGGCGTCATCGTGGACCTTCTGGACTGCCCGTAGTTGATCTTGATAAGACGCACTTTGCGCCATCTTCTGCCAGTAAAGCCATCATTCTTCGGGGTCGGCGAGTCGTGGGACAGCCCGCCAGGCATGTGTCTGATCTTAATGATGCCATCACCCGCGTAATATTTGTCTTGAATTTCACTGTCGGGGTGAATTTTATTTAGAAAATACAGAGAGGGGTAAGTTCCTGTTTGCAGTAAACATAGCATGACTGCCTGAGCCCTCTTCAATTTTGCGTGTGGCAGTGGGAATTGCCTACGCCCCAAGTAGTAATATTTTGGATGTTGTTGTATGGGAATAAATGATCTTCATAGTCCCCGAAATGGTAGTGGGAATCAGGTCGGGTCTGACCGGCACGACAAGCGAGTCCTCGTGCGAAGTCATTCGTAACCTCGTTGAGGTTGACACGAGTTTCGCCCATTTGTCCCATATGCGCAGGAAACCATCTGATTTCAATATCGATAATACTGACCTTGTTCATAAGTTTAACCACAGACCCAGCGACATAGCCCTTGTCGAAGTTTGTAATGCTGTTTTTGGAATCACTATAGATGTATGACCATTTTCTGTTCCTGATAGCTAAAGCAATCGTGGCTTGCTCCGGCACTGTGGAGTCCTTAGTGAGTATAGTCAGGGTGTCCCGTACCTCTCCCTGGCTGTCGACCACCACAGCCATGTAGGCCTCTTTGCCATTCACCCAGGCTGAGTACACGATGGCCGCCTGTTGTCCTACCTGTTCGATTTCTTTCAATAAAGCTTTCGCTCTCGCTTTTCGCCTGCTGACATTGTGTTCCAGATGC